TGTCTGTTTCAACCTTAAGGTCAAACATATTTCTTGATCATACGGAGCAGATTGTTTGCCTGCATTATGATAAATACCGTCAACCCTGCAGGTTGTTAATATTGTTAAATATTGACCCGTATTGTAGGCTATATTAAATTCTCCTCACAATACAAGCATGTAAATTAATCTGAGGACAGTGGTCACTGTTTGCATAAACAGGAAGTGTAAAAATAACACTGCCCTTTTATTCTACTCTTAAGTAAACCATACATTTGAGTTTACAGTACACACATCATTCATCAGAAATATTTGCACAATATGAGGTTGGGTATTAACCACACACACTATTAGATGTGAGAGATACTGTGACTGATGAAATACGGAGACTCTCTCATTTGTTATCTGTCTCACTATTTAAAAGTCATCACTCTGTTTGCAGTGTTGTGAAACGGAGGACATGAGAGGGCGAGACCCATGAAATTAGGTGGAATAATCTTTTGTGATCATTTTGTTTGTTTACCAGTATTAATATTCAGCCTATTAGTGTGATTCAGACTCTTCTACTGTATGTCTATGGACCTCATTCATGGCTCACTTATTAGGCATAGTGGATATGACTCATTTGTTATCAGGACTGTGAAATTATGCCTGTGCAAGAATATTAAAATCCAATGACTATTCTGTGTTTTGCAAAGTGGCCTTGGGGCACCAATGTTTTCAGTTTCTAGATTGGAAAAGGCCATTAAACGAATACATGAAAAGGGAGGAATAACAAGGACACACAGTGCCACTGATGCAAAGCAACTGAAACCATCATAGGGGCGCAGAGACACCGTGCCAGCATTGGACCTGCACTTCAGTCTGACCTGCACCACCTACAGGCACGAAAGGTAACAGCTGAAGCAGTTTAGGCCCGCAGATTATACAGAAGTGATGATTTGCAGGTCACTGTCGTTTCTCCTACACGCTTGGTACATTCATTTAACTCAAAGTACCGCAGTGTCCAGTCTCATACAACTGATAGCATGACTGTACACTCTTGGTGTTGTTTGTCTTGTGCTATTGTTTGCGTGAAGTTTAATATTTAATATTTAATATTTCAAAATTACTAAACATAAGACTTTTTATAAGTTGAGCTAAATTTCAGAGTTCAGAGTTTACACTGCAGTAACATCATTTATCCTCTGCCCGCTAGCACTGTTCATTTGAGAGGAAAGGAGAGTGCTAAACATACTGGTGTGATGCAGGGGCCAAATGTAATGTAGGTTGATCAATTTATTTCAAAGTACAGTCAGAAATAAATCCTCAGCAAGATGAAGTCATATTTTTGAGTGCCAAAAATAGTGAGGCAGTGACCATTAAGATATGTTAACCTTCAGTGCCCTTTGATAGAAAATGTCACTAGCCTTAAATGCAAGCGTTGCATTAGGAGGCAACCGGCTCAGGACTGAGATGATCAAAGAAAGATATGCACAGAAAGTTATTCCTGCTGCAACCAAACTGACCCGAAACATATTTTTCATCAGTCACTTTTGAGCCCCCCTGTGGAAAAATAAACCTTCAACCCTTTGGAATGAGATGTCTAAGATACACCTTTTTTAAACTGTGTGAAAATCTGTAATTTACACTAAGAGGGGAAAAATCAATATCCATTCCTCAAAGACAGGAGTATTGACTTTGTGTTTTGTGCGAGGGTATTTCTAAAAGCAGAAGAAAGTGCTGCTCATAAGATGTATATTATCACATGATGGGAACTAATAAAAGGCTTGACTCACATGTCTGCAGACAGTGCATGCTTGTCTACAGACATGTGATGAGTGAAAAAATCTGCTTCAGTGGAAAAGGAAGATTATAATGTGATAATGTACATATTATTTTTTTGGAAATACCCTCACACAAAACACACACATATATCTTTGATTAATATAATTTATATCAGGCCACCCTATTAAACTTCCCTATTCACAGCCATTGAATTGAAACCAATTTAACTTTAAATAATAGCTGAATGAATGGCTTTTTTAAAGAGGAGCAGCCCCTACCTCGTTCAGTCTGCTGTAAACGGAGCCCTAATGTTTCTTAAGAGGCTTCCCTGCCATGCTCATGTTTACGACCACACACAACATTTGTTTCGCCCCAGCACAGCCAGTCAAGCAACAAATTAGCAGCGTCTTGTGGAACAAGATTCTCAGACGGCCGCCATGAAAGTTTATGCAGCGGAGTCTGACACCCAATTAGCTGCCTCAATCCGTAATGCCAGTCACTAAAAAATGAGAATACTGGTGTTATGTTTATTAAATACTGGAAAATAACTATGTTTATTGAATTACTGAGAGGTTTGACTGAATTTACTTTGAATGAAACATAAATTGCCCCTTTAATGCATTCTGCAAGATATCTAAAACTATGTCCTTACACTATAAAAAAAGCCCATATTTGCAATTGGCCATGTTATTTTGCTTTTGGTGGCTTCAGTTATGACATACCGCAAGCTTTAGTTTGGATTCCCAATTTGAACCACAACCCATGAACATTTCTGCACTCTTTTCTCGGCACAGTAATAGACATGTCTGCCATTTCTTTATAGAAACAGACATTCCCATTCCCTTGCAGGTTTGTTTGGTGATAGGGCTAAATCAATAAGCCCTCTTTAATGAAAAGCTCTGTGAATACACTTGGCTGTCATTATGAGAATAGGTTTGTCTAAACCGCGCGCAGTTCCCTGGTTACAGTTTTCGATTTTCTGCTCTTACAGAGTGAGACACTGAGATTAAAATGTCTCCTGTGTGTGTGTGTGTGTGTGTGTATGTGTGTGTTTGCCCCTGTATCTCTTGAGATGAACCCTCTATCTTTTCCTCTCTTCTCTGTCAAGTAAGTGACAGCTGACCTGATGGGACAGACAAGCTATTGATGCATGTCCCCCCAATGGGGTCTTCAAAGACTTTATTTTTACTCTTGTTTGTTTACATGTTGAGAGAGTTGAGCAAAGTGAGCATGCAAAAATTTGAATAATGTAAGAGCCAGGTACAGCAAATGGCAATGGTAATATTCCATTATAATAATAATTATATAATAATAATAATAATAATAATGATAATATAATAATTAAAAACTTTTATGGGGGAGATCATGGTGGTCGGAGCCGGGTGGAATGAACAGAAAAAACATCTCTCACTTAAGGCCATAAGACTTTTCGTAGCATGTTGTTTTCCTTAATACATTCATGTTTGAGGATCGTGTCTGCAGCCAGCGTCTATCTGGATATGGACCATGCTTGACCTCTTATGTTAGTTTTGCACCTGATATGTCAGGACTAATCATAGCTTTAATCCTTTTGAATAAATTGAGTTTGATGAGCTCTGCAAATTCTCAGCATACCTCCCATTTTCAGTCTGATAAAAGGTCTAATCAGTCAGAGTATTTGAAAAAACCCACTGGAGGGGGAGCAGGGGTGGACAGAAACTGAGCTCCCAGCACAACAGGCAGAACAATGAATTTCTACTTTAGTAAGATGGCTAATTTAAAAAACAAAAACAAAAAAACAGTTCAATCTAATTGGTTCTTAATAAGTTTTAAGTTAGTAAATTCAGGAAATTATTAATCAGTATTTAAAAGTTCAAGATTTAAAAAATTCCAAATCAAAGACACGTGATTATCAAAGAACAAAAAGCAGCTTTCACTGAGACATTTTTTTCCTAAATACTGTCTGCACTTAATCTGGCCATCTCGTACTCAGCTTTTTCTTTCATGTACAACCAGCACAGCTCACGAGAATCTCCTCTGGTTGCCACTTTCACTTTTACTCTTTCCCCCTCCACTGTCACAGCTTGTCTTGTCAATCATCATGCGAAGTAAACATTACTGATAGGCTCTGCCAGCAATTGTTTTTGGTTACATATGTATGAATGAAGTCTGTGTGAGTGTATGTCAGAAGACAGCGAGGGAACAGAGGCCATATGGGTCATTGATAGTGATTTCTATGGGCTTGGCTCGTGAAATTTGGCAGAGGTGCAGACACGCAGGAGCAAAGAGTGCCTGGTCTTTTATCTGAAAGAGTAACTGGGCCACGGCATTACAGGAGGGGTACGATCAAGCATGGGCAACCAAATGTGTCACAAAAGGACAGTGGGAACAGTGGTGTTTGTTGGGTCATGAATCAGAGTATTGGAGGGGGAGGACAGCTCTGCAAGAAAAGGTAACACAACGGTTGAATGGTCGCATACTGCCACACAAACACAACAACTGCACTTTAAACTGTCACCATGCCATCAGGGATACTACTATGGGAATAAATATGTACACAAATGTTCTTTCTTTTGTCATTGGTCTTTTGTGTCGCTCCCTAGAGGCATCATTTAAATCCAGCTAAATTGATACTGCATACCCCCTCAATGGTGAACCCAAGGAAAAGAGCCCACAGTTGGATGCTTGGAGGGACTTGCATGATGCTGATGGTGGCAAACGAGGGCCCACTGACGCATTATTTTAATACGTTTCCTCGTTGTTTACCTCCTTTAGTGTGGTTTTCATAGTGCTTTAAGGAGACTTAATCTAAAATACAAGGACAAAGAAGGTTAAAACTGTGGGATATCTTATGAAAAATAACACTTTAAAATAGGTTTTAACAGTCATGTGGCTCTTTGTTTTAAAAGCTAGTAGATAGTTCTAGATCTGTCCAAAACAAAGTTTCTGTAAAACTTTTGTATAAAAAAAGTCATTAAAGTTATGAGTCTTTCACAGCTTTTTTAGTTCAACCTGATCAGTGGGTTCCTACACCGGAAGGGTGAGGGGTTGTAATCACACAGGAAGCCGTACTCATTACTCTGACAGCATTGTGCTCCTTAAGATGCATCATTAGGATGGACAGTGACACTGCTGAAAGACAACGCTCATATATTCTGATGAATGGTAACAAAGACTTTACTGAAGCTGCTGGAGCACAAATATTGTAAAGGGTGGATTTATAGATTATACAGTTTATTAATGGAACTGTAAGAACAACAAAGGCCATAAGAGTCCATTATTAGTGTGTTTATTATGTTAGAATTATTTTGTTTCAACCTACAGTTCCAACACTGATTACTTGATTTAGTGCACTTGACCCTTAACATAATTTGACAATGTTTAAATATTTGTATTAGCTTCAGTTGATAAGTTACAAGATACTGAGAGGTGATAAATGACAGCACACGTCCTGCAATTATCATATAAAAACCCAAACAAGACACAAAGCGAGAAATAAATACAGACATTGTTCAAAACATTCACATTTACAGTATTGTTGGAATAGTTGCACACAAAATATGAAGCTGTATTAAAAACTGACTTCAACAGTAAATCAATCTGCCCTCCCATCAGGTCTGGTCAACTTAAACTATTGGAGGTGACTGGAGGGGAGCCTTAAAGCTTTGGAGGAAAGCTCTTGTTGACAGAGTTAAACTAGTGCATAAGATATAACTTAAACAGTGCCTGACTGCACAAACAAGACTTTCAAATACTCAACCCAGGACAATAAAAGAATTTCCTCCTCAGATATGACAAATCAAACAATCACACATGGTGCACATATACTACATGTTGACTACAGCAATTTATATTATTTATCAGAGTAATCATTATATTAAGATTTATGTCAATCATAGACAAAACAAATAAAACAAAAGAAGCAAAGAATCCAGTCAGGCACAATAAATACCCTGAAGTGAAATAATATACAGCAAACGCATGGGCTGGAATAATTTAAAATAAATGATTAAAGTGAAAAATAGCTCAGATCTTACTATTTCTCCCTCTGGGGGCAAATTCAATCATGTTTTGTATCAGATAGTGGAGGTTTATGACACAGACTCTTCTTGGATCTGTAATTGGGACGTATTTACCAAAAAACTTAACAACGTTATGCGACTATCAAATTTAGCGACTCGTAAATGTTCACTCAATGTTTTGTTTAATATCAAGTTTGGAGCTGAATCGGAAACTGTTCGCAGTGACTGAAAAGAGACGGTGTAAGTTCCATAAACGGCCACACGGTCACATCACACTGTTAGATCCTGTACTGTGTCTGAAAAACATACTTAACATCTGTTCCTAATGGTCAGAGAATAGATTGAAATAGTTATGGTTGCAGACAATTTGCAGAAAAAACATCATAAGCGGTACGTTTGTTTGATGGAAACATGAGTGCATGCATTACGGTACATCTACTGTATGCATAGAGTAACTGCAGCATGCTTGAGAATGAAAGTTTTAGTATTTATGTCCATCAACACATCATGAGGTGCATTCAACGAGTTTTTGACCACCTAAGGACAGTAGATTAACAGATAATTAGCATTTGGCTAACATATGAGCTTTAAATTGATGTATACAGCAGCTCTACTTCTGTATATACTGTACAGCTTGTTGAACACCACAACATGGATGCACTAAACTGAAAATGAAGACATTCTATGCTGAGCTTCCACTGTGGGGGTTTACTCTGTTGGGAGTGTCCATCTCTGTGGCTGCTTGACACGTTCAGGGTCTGCTCTGGCCATCAGTCTATCTCTTGGGTCTGTCAATGTCATCGATGGCTGCCAGAAGTTTCTGACGGGCCTTCTTGTTTATATGTGAGCCCAGACAAACGTTCACCAAGTTGGCTAGCTGTTTCATGGAGTACTCCTGCGCAGAAGAACACAAGTCAGTCAAAACAGATATGCAGATAGAAAACAAAACGACGACTTTAATTAAAATGAATGTTTAGTGCTGCGTAGGAACAGCCTGCTTCACTGTCTCACCCTGTGATTCTTGATGAACTGCTCCATGTCATTCTCCGTCAGGTAATAGGCCTTGATGTAGGTCTCAACAAACTCTTTATCAGGGATGGGTCGCAGGTCGGTCAGCTTCTCCAGCTTCATGAGGAACTGCTGGAAGTCCAGCTGCATCAGGGCCCGGCCCTCGTTGCTACATTTCTTCACATTAGCATAGCTGCAGTAGAGGACACAACAGCGGATGGGGAAAAGAGGAGGTTAGTGTAGGGTAAAATATTCAGATACAGGTAGGCAATGACTGGAAAGCAAGAAACTCCTGTGTCATTTTCTTCACCGGTGCTGATCACAGCTTGCTGTTCATTTTTAAGATTAGATAACCTTTATTCCTTTCACGCAGGCAAACTTGTCTCTTCTGTATATTAAGGGCAAAATCATGTTGCAATGGTTTTAAATTCTTTACTGTATCTCTGTGAATTTGCTACAAAATTGTCTGGGAGATGTGTTTCAGATGTGCCAGTTTTCATTTGAGTCAAAATGGAAATACTGTCAAAACTCCAGCATCAAAGTAATCAAAGAAATGTGTGGTAATTTACTAGATCATGAGAGACATTTGGAATCTGTTTTTGATTTTAAAAGTTTAAAAGTTTTTATTAATGGAAATGAACAGAGGAGAGACAAGTTAATGTACTTAATATTTCAGTGAACGTACTACTTCGATGTGTAATATCTATAATAATTAAATCTTCAGTTCATTAGGTCTGTAATAATATAGACAGAGCCGTGTCTGTTAACTTTGTGTTTTTATTTGGATTATATATATATATAATACCTTGTTTGTGTTAGATGTGATTTATAGTTTATTTCATTTTATATTTATTGTCCCTGCATGAGTTGGATTGAATCTTGGCTTTCGTATTTTCCTTTTGTCTTCTTTAGTGAATATTCAGACAAGCCTTTTAATGTGCATGTTAATGACAGAATCAACTCTATATACGAGTCTTTATATGTGTGTCTGCATGGTTCCTATCTTAAATTATCAAGCCATACTGGTGCATCCAGCCATCTGTGCTGTGTCAGTGAATGTGTGTGTGGGCCAGAGTACACACGTATTTCACTGTGTGTTTCTGTTTGTGTTTAATGTGTTTGGCAGCAGGCACTGTTGTCCTCTGGCAGGTCAGTGTGTGTGTGTGACATCTACAGTACATTACCACAACACACAGACAGGTCTGCTCTCTGTAAACTCTCTCTGTCTCACACTTCAGCTTTTCTCTCTTCTGTTTCTCACTCTCTCTTGCTTTCTCGCTCTCTCTTTCATCACCTCTATCTCTGTCATCCTCGTTCTTTTTTGCTTGTCAGGCCTGCCAAAGTTTGGCGTGGAGTGTTTTTCGAGCTTCGGCTCAGAATGCTAACAAAGCCATTTCTGCGGGTCTCTACGGAAAAACAAGCGCTGGACAGAGAAATTGAATAACAGGCTGAGCGAGTCGGGGTACAAACAAACAAATATGACCACTCCGTCTTGGTGTGCCAGAGGGGTGGGAGATGAGTGTGTGTTTATGTGCGTGTGTGGGGAGAGAGAACTAAGCAGACGGCAGAAGTCTGTAACAGCAGTTTAAATTTGTAGAGCAGAGCAGTCGTAATAGGCCATGTGTTCATTGGAAAGGGTTCAAAAGTTCTCTTACGCAATAGGAAGAAAAGTGCTCAGCAAATGTGTTGGGAGGTAAACATGTTCCCTTTTCACAGTGGGTGAGGGCAAGTCTTTCACCTATGCTTAATGCCCAATGTTCTCTTTCCTTCTTAAAACCCCAAATCACTTAACAAGCATTTGTTTTTGACCTAAACCATTCCCTGTGCCTGCCAGCACAACCCTACCAACACTCACACACTGTAACCTGCACCAAAGGATGACTTTGCCTTCCACATCAGTAATTTTCTTCTTCCCAATAAAACGCGTGTAACCTCATGATAATTGTCAGCCGTTAGTGTCTCGCCGCGTCACCATCCAGCCGCTCTGACTCAGTGTTGCTGTGCATCCAGTCTGTCTGAGCAAGAGCGGGTGTTCATCACACCTTCAATCTAAAAACCTATTTCGCACATTCACTCAACACGCTGAGTAAAGAGACAGCAGGGATGCAGTTGCTGAGAAAAAAAACCAACACTCTCAGTCGCCTATCACAACCCATACATCTCGTTTACAGGGGAGAAAGTGGTGAAATGCATTACAAGGGATGTGTCAAGAGCGTTTTACAGTTTTCGTGAGTGGCCTGTGTCATGCAATTCCCTGATGGGCCTTTGGTGAAGCTGGAGAGATGTGACACACAAGGTTTTTTGCTAGCATGAGGAGAGGAGGAGATGGCAGGAATTTAGAGTGGTTTTCTTGGGGGATTACTCCAAAGGAACTTGCCAACAGAGTCTCCAGGTTTCTTAGGTACTGTAGGTAATTTCCCCTGTTCTTCATGGTGCCTGACAACATTCTTTGGAGATAATTTTTTCTTTTTGAATTTATGATGTGCAGCTGTTAAAACTGAGAGATTAACACACAGAGAAAAAGCTCCAAAGAGGTGAAAATCTCCACTTCTCTTTGATCAGTATCTCTGTAGGCTTTCCCCTAAAAGATGCAATGGTTGAGAGTGGGGAGCCTCAAATCACTGTGATGCAACTCACAGATGCTGTTTGGTATGCATACATGAGACAAGCTTTGGGACACTATTTATGACTGTTAAGAATAAAGAGACCTATTCAAGCAAAAAAAAAAAAACCTAAAGGGCTTCCACAGGTCTGCACTGTATTTAGCTTGGTCACATTACTGGTCTGAATAATTCATAATGCTAAAATGTGGATTCATTATCAGCAATCTTTGTGTTTTGTGCACATCCTTTTTGCAGCAAAGTATCACCCAGTATCAACTTGAATAGCATTGAATTTCTTCATTCGTTGAGATATCCTAAATAAATATTTAATACACAAAACCTCACTGCTGACTGTCAATGATTTAATAAGTTCTATTCAATGGTTTCTGACTTTCCTTTTTAAATAGTTCTATATTTATGAATACATGTAATTAATCAGATAGGAACTGTTGTCCAAAAGGCATTATTGCTACAAAAAACACAATTAAAAGATATTTGAATACAGTAAAAATGTATATGTAGCACTGACGTTTAGAGCACATTTGCCCTTCAGAGTATTTGCTTCTTAAATTTGATTGGTTAGATGATAACTCAACCTTGCACATGTTTTTGTACATATAAGAAGGATGGATCAATCAAGGGCAAATGAAAAAAAGGTCTGCACTTATGCTCTTAGGAATAAATAGAAAGTGTACAGTTCAGGGACTGTTTCACACTGCTTTGTTGACTCGTTCTTTAATGCAGAAGAAAAGGGGAAATATATTCTGCACCAAGAAAGTGCGTTTTTCTAGAAAAGTTTTAACAATAATTTAGTTTTGGCCACCCCTCCACCGAAGTTGGGTGCACACACACCTGTACAAAGGTGTTTTTACAACTTTCTTACCCTTCTACAAGAGTCCTGTTGGCCAGGCGGATGCAGTGCTCCCACAGGACGTTGGACACAGGTAGCGGGATGCGCACATGTCTGGAAACCTCACCCAGCCGCTTGTTAAATTGCTCAAATTCCTGGGAAGGTGTAGGAGGAAAACAGGTGAAAGTAAGACATTCATAAACACAACAGTAAACAACTGCAGCCTCAGACAGGAAACAAGCCACTAAGGGACCAATACAACTTTGGTTTCCCAACTGCAAGACATAAACAAAATAAAAGTCTTCATGTAAGACAACATAAATATATATTGTTCTGAGCTACTCTGTGTCCTGGATGACGCCCAACACCAGCTCCCCCAATCTTAACATGCAGGAGTGGAACAGAGTTAGAAAAATACCTCATGCTGTGAATTGCATAACCCAAATTATTTACAGTCTGCAAAGAGTAAACTGCATCAGGGGTTTGGATCTCTTTTTATAAATACTTTGGTAATTTAACATACAAAACATACTATGATAGTGGTATAAGTAAATAGATAGATCAATCTAAGCTCAATTATCTCCCCCAGAGAAAGCAGCCTGCAGTGTGTCTGGCTTATTGTACAACAACTCAACTTTAACTATACTACTTTAATGACTTTGCAATCTGGGCTGATGGACACTACATCCTGATGTACTGAACAGACGGAGCAGGATGTATGAATCCACCAAGTCACAAATCATGGGTTAAAACAAATCAGTCTTACAGTCAGCCCTTCGTCTGCCTTTGGGTTCTTTAAATTTATGTTTTTTTAATAAATAACTGAGATACTTGAGATGCCCTTTGACACTTGTATAACATCTCTTCAGCCGGTATCTCACCATTTCCATGATTAAGTACAAAAAAAGGACATCAGTCATGGGGGTGTTGTTACAGCTTGCCTCCAAATGTTCTCTCTTTTATGTTTCAACCCAAAGAAAAAAGAGGAGACGTCCCAGAGGACGGTGCAGGCTGCAGGACATAAAGTTGTGCTATTAAATGTGCCATGTTCTAATGCTACTTGTTTGTAACCGTAAAAACTCTGCACAGGAAGGGGTGTCAGCTCTACCAAACACTCACTGCACTCTGAAATGTTCAATTATGGATAACATTATACAATTATGATATTGTGTCGCTGTTTATAGGGAACAAATTGCAGTACATAAGGACTGGTCATAAATATTATGGATGTGTCTCACGAGATGTGGTTTTTCTAGCGTGTGTTTGCAAAATATAGGTCTGCATCTTATTAAAAAATGAACCTGAATTTTAAGGCATGCACAACTGGCATTAATTTTTCACCCAAGAATGAAATATTATTCATTCACCAACAGCCACACAATAGTTTCTGACTTAAGCATTTTGTCAATGAAGTCATTCTGAGGCTGCTGCATTTTCTTGCCACTTTATATGCAAATCAATGCCATTGCTGAATGCTAGTGATCAACCTGAATTCATGAATAAAATATTCTCGTGAGTGCAGTACAACAAAATTTGTCACACTCTTTTCAATCAATGCACATAACAAAATCCATATGCATTACGAGTGTCTGACAAGTTGGCAGAGAAGGATATTAGTACCTGATGGGGAAAAGTACATGCTACTTGTATTATGCATCATGTCAGTCCATCAGCTGGACACGGTTCAGCGTTTAAACCAAGCCAGTGAGACAGAGATTTTCCCCTTAGGCAATTTAGCTCATAAGCTAAATTAGTTAGACTAAACTGCAGAGCTGCCAGAGCCAGACAAAGATCTATGAGTTGTTCAGGAATTCAAAAGATGAGTTTGAGTTATTTTCTCATAAGCAGGTCATTTTTAATGGGGACTGGATGTGTATATATTTATTTATCTATTCCAACAACATCTGCACTTTACAGTGTGATTACATCAACAGCTTTCTTAGGCATGCTGATGCATATATGAGGATTTGTCTGGTGCTGGTCTGTTCAGGATTTCACACCACAGTGAGCCCTTAAGACTTTCCTGTGTCTGAACGTCAGAGGCAAGAAAACTAGTGCCGTGTGTCCTTTTACCCCATGCAAAATTTATAATTGGATAAGTGGCCAGCATGCATAAAGACACACATTTAGTGGAAAACTTCAGATTCCAAAAATATGTCTGCGACCTGTGAGCGTAAATGTCTTTAACAAAGCTGGAACTTCAGGTGAGGTCTGCATTCAACTCTCAAAAGCTCACCCTTGTACTAAATTATTCACCCCATCCCAAATAATTTATTTCAAAGATCCCCGCATGAATTTAAGTGGAATAAAGGGTAATACTTAATGTAAACACAGATGTTAAAAGAATAACTCACCCACTATGTGAGGAAAATCCCCGCTAGATAAAAGTAAATCTATTACAGCTGCCTTTTATGTGCTCTAATTTTTTCATTGTGGATATTGCATGACACAGAGAGGGCTGCAGTGGACAGTTAAGTTATTGTTTGGGGAAAAAGAATAAACTTTGGGACAATTTTGAACTTTTCCTGAATGTGAAATACACTCTAAAAAGATTTAAAAAGGGATAGCAGTCGTCTTGGTATCCTCATTTATATTCCACTGACAAAGAGTCTTAGTGGCATAAATGATGCAACAATCTTAATGGGGAGATGCTTGCCTATTATCTCTGTGAAATGTGAGAAAAAAGCTGTTCCAGTGAAGTCTCTATCCTTGTCTTTGAACAGAAACATGACACAGCACAAACTAGGATTAAGAATGCAGCACTGTGACTAATTTACAATTGACTTGAAACCTTTAAAGCTGCACTAATCAATATATTTATATTAACAATGGATAAAATGACTACATGTAATGAGAAAAAGGTCCTTTCTAGTGACAAATACACAGACAGTTATGGACCGACTCTACAGTTCCCCTCAACTTTATGAAGAATTGTACTCTTTCAGCTCATTGTTTTGGTTTTCAGGGAAGGAACTTTACTGATTTGGTTCACTCTCGTGGGTTTCATAAACCTCATTCCCACCAGCAGGCAGCTGTTTTCACTCTAAAAGCTCTGATAAACTGACGGTACGCTACTTGTCAGTAACAAAATGACAGACAAAGTTAGTGAACATTCAGCCAATGATTCTGTTACCATCATTTAAAGAGCCAAAAGCCAATTCACTGTTTCTAACTCTATTCATAAAGCTACAGTATAGCACATCACATGTTACATCAACAGTCACATACACATCTCTTATGTAACATTACCTTTAACAGGACGTCCACATAAACATTATGCTGTGACATTATGTCCCTAATGTCCCATTTTACTCCAGCCATCATGAGCAACATTTGTTCGTAGTCAATGGCCTTGGCTGCAACAATCCAGTATATTGGTTTCCGAAGTTCACTGGCTGTAGACACCGTCTGAAGGAAAAAAGGGAGGACAGATATGTGGGCTGTATTCAAGAAGTCTTTGAACATTATGTAAGCAGTTCTTCTTCTAAAATAAACATATTGTAAAGGTAACATAACGTCACTGATAGCACAATATTTCCATGAGTGAAATTATAGGATATGACATTCATTTGATGTTTGGGGACAACAGACCTGTCTGCGTACCTGAATATTTCAAATGTCAAATGGACAAAAAAATAGAAAAGTCTGGAAAAGAGCTGCCTGTGTGGTTCTGAGTGACAGACAATTTTCTCCTTTGCTGATCGAGAACAGGACTGAATGCTTGGGTTACAGTTACACAGTCATTTGCCCCCAAGAAGAAAAAGGCTTTTAAAGAAAACAAAAAGGCAGAATGATGGTTACCTATAAAGGAATGAATGCAACTGGAATATTGTTTTCAGAGCAAATCAAATGAAAGATACTGTGCTTGTGTTACGCTTTTTTATATAACCACAAGGCTAACACATGTGGGTAATGGTGATTCTTACTAAAAGTTTGATTCTATGACAAAATCAAAAAAGTGATAATAAAAGATTCGGTGCCACCGTAGTCAGATGTTTTTTACCATGCTACCTGTGACCGACAGTGGCGACATGAACAGTTACTGTAATTACACAGACTACATTAGAGAAAAGGTGCAAGTATACCTGGGAATAAAACTGTTGCAGGAAGGGCTTCTTGGCTGCAGGCATCATTGTGTCCAGGTGGGATTGGAGGGAATCAAATTGTTCAGCCAGAAACACACTGAGGAAAAAAAACAGAAACAGCCATTTAATACAGCATTGTGGTGGCACAATATGGTCTGAAAAATGCCCTGGCGCAGTACAGCACAAAATTGTCTTGTTTCTGTATTGTTCAAGAGTGACATTTTTTTTGCCATTAAGTTTCGATCAAATTTAAGTTTAAGGACCTGAATTAGAGCAACTGACAATGAGAGATAGTAGGGATCCACAATATGATTTTTTTTTCAGCCAATACAACAGCCAATTGTTGCCTGCTTCTCATAATTTCATATTTTTGTGTTTAAAAAGAAGTTTGTAACCTGTAGTTTTAGAGTAAAAAAGGCTAAAATGTAGTAATCAAAGATGGATGATTTAATATTCCATAGCTCTGTTTTAACCAAATCTAACTGACATCAGTTTAAGACAACAAAAACAGTTCTGACTTTTGAAATGTTATTTTACTTATTCTAGTAAAGTACATCAAAAACTATTAACAAGCATACTTTGGCTTTTATAGAACATAAAGCTTATCAAATGTTTTGCATAAGAACTTAAAATAAATTGTTATCATTATCGGCCAATAATTTATCAACAATAATTTCATTTTCTGGATAATTTATAACAATATAAATTTCCCATTATTGGCTCCGATAATCATCCTGCATCCCTAAGAGATCGTCTTATTCACAAAACATCATATTTAATCTTAATACCAGAGCAGCACAAGAACAAAGAATACTTGATCCATAAAGCTTCTAATATTAAAGCTAAGCATTTGTCGTGTCACACAACAGCAACAGACTTGACAGAAAAGAGAAAACACAAGGAAAAGTCTTTGATTCTTCACTCTGTCATTCCTCAGATTTAAATGTTAATTTGACAATGTGAATATTTACAACCTGGAGACATTTCTGTACAAACGTTGTACCCCCTGAGCATTTTCTGTGAATGTTCTAACAGTGCACCATTAAACGCAGCTACACCATTCTCCACTGTTGCAGCAATCTAATTTCTCCCCCCGTGATCATTACAGTTTAATGTAATAAATAATGAGGTTGAACAGACTCCAGAGATGTCACAACATAAATCATCCCTCGACTCCGTGGTCATGTTGCACTTTGTGAAAAGTACTTCCAAGTTCCAAATCTTCAAGTCTCACTTCAAGAGACAAAATATAATTTATTTCCAACAAATCAGGCAGGGGTTTTTACGATAAATGGATTTCAATTATCTGTGAAAAATATTGAGGCTAAGCGAAGCTAGCAGAAAAATAAATAAATACAGGGCAAAAAAAAAAAAAAATCAATGCATACAAAAGTAATACCGCTATTCCACTGTGAATCCAGCTCTGACTAAATAAAGACCTTTTGACTCGGGCTGATCGATGGCTCTGAAGTGTTACCATACATTAAATAAAAACTGAGGGAGCAGGTTTGAGTGGACTGAAGTTCAGGGTTGAGTCTGGAGTTTAACGAGAATGCTGCGGTAAAGCGCGATGATTTCTTTACAGTTCCAGGTCAACAACAACAAAACTGATTGGATAGTGCAATTTAAGAGAAGAAAAAAACAGACTTAAGCCCCGTGAGTAGGCCACCACATCCTGTACTGCCCCTTGAGTTCAAATTTAGTTTGAACTCGCTTAGCAACAAAGTGAATAACAATATCAGCGGGACCGAGAATGACCCGGTCACTCTCAACATCTCAATCTTCCAGTTGCTCAATAGGCTGATAAACAATCTGAGTGACAGGATTCTAGCACAAAGATAGGAAATGAATGGAAACTAAAGCTATTAGACCACAGAATAAAGTGCATTCAGAGTTTTGCATTATGACAACAACAATTATAGAAATATATTCAAAATGCATGTTACGGAGAGGGCTTAATACTGCCAGTTTTAATTATAGCCAGAGAAATATTGGATTTCTGAGGCTGATACAAATATATATACTTACAATTTTAATCAGTCTTTTTCACACATAATATTGACAAACATTCTTGATAAAAATCACAATTTTAAAGATTAAATTAAATTACCATAAAACATATTTTTTGCATCTCTCTACTGCATTTCTTATGAATTATTAACTGACATTAGCAACATTACAAATATATTGCAATAAGATAATATCGACCAATATATGTACCTTTTTAATCAGATTAGAATATTAAAAGGGTGGGATATATGATTTAAAAAAATTGTAAAAGTTGTAGCTGAATCAATCAGCACCTCATTTTCTGCAGATTTCTCTTCTTATTTTTCATGACCAGAAACAATTTCTGAGCC